TGAATTGTAGGAGATTGTATGCGTAGGACGGACGATGACTATTGATTATTTGGTAAAGGAATGTGCCTAGGAAATATTGTCTTCGGAAGGAAGGGAAGAGCCATACTAATTCAGCATAGTGGTGCGAAACACGGGAATACCTCAGGGCCCCTGTGACAAATCTTACGAAGGCATTCATAATTCTTTTCAGTCTCTCCCCGAGTTCTGCCGAGAGGCCACCGTACACCACGCAGCCGTAATCAAGGTGGGGGAAGATGAGGGAAGTTACTAGGAGTCTACGTGTGGAGATGGGTAGGAGATGGCGGAAGCGATGGAATAGTTTCAAGGTACCAATTGACTGTCGGGTAATGTGAGCAATATGGTGTTTCCAGGATAGGGTTTGGTCTATGAAAATGCCTAGGTTTTTTACTGAGGAGGTGAAGGTAATGGGATGGTCATTTAGGTACAGTATAGGTATGTTGGTATTGGCTCTGAGAAGGGGTTTGGAACCAATGACAATGGCTTGAGTTTTTGCAGCGTTTAACCTTAACCCATTTAAGTTTGCCCAGGCACTGATCCGATTCAAGTCTTCTTGAATTTTGGCAAACGCTTCATGCAACTCTGAGGGATGGAAGGAAAGGTAGATTTGGGAGTCATCGGCGTAAAGGTGATTGGAGCAGTGAAGGATTGAATTATGGATGTCATTGATATAAGAACTAAAAAGGAGGGGAGATATGCTAGAGCCCTGGGCCACTCCTGCGGACAAAGTAAGATAGGAAGACAAGGGTTGATTAGGAATAGCGACAGCTTGTGAGCGTTGGGAAAGGAATGATTGAAACCATAGGATAGAACTATGGGAAAAGGATAATGATTTTAATTTGGAAAAGAGAATGGAGTGGTTGATGGAATCAAAGGCTTTGGAAAAGTCAATGAGTATAAGGACGGTTAGTTTTTTGTCATCAATGGCGGACTGAACATCATTAATGATTTAGATTAGGACGGATTGTGTGGAATAACCTGGTCGGAAACCAGATTGGTAAAGATCAAGTTGATTGGACTGTTCAAGGAAGGTGGAAACTTGGGATTGCACAATTCTCTCCAAGTTTCCATTTTTCCATGAAAGAGGAAAAATAAAAACTGTCGATTTTCTTCATTCAGCAGTGTTATAACATTGCAGTCAGGAGACTCATTGGGCACACTCAGGTTTTGTAAAGTGGGTACTCTTAATTAAATAATTAGTTAAGATAAAACATCTTGTCCAATCTCTACTTAGCACAACTGCAGACTGAGAAACATTACTTCTTTACAAAGTACTGACCTCTACTCTCCATGAATTGTAGTGGAAGAGAAAAACAAAATAAAATAACTAACTTTTTTATTTAATAATGATTATATCATGGAGACCAGTATAGCAGAGTGGTTAGCGCGCTATACTAGTAAAGTAAAGATCATAGGATCGAATCCCAGCCCCTACTTCCCACTACATATGGTCCCCTCATGAAGTTAGACCATACCCCTTAATTAGGGGAGGCCTACAAGACTTGTATGAACAGGCTGGTAAAAAAAAAAATATAAGTGAAATTAAAGAAAAATTCTCATATATATTTTACATACAAAGGGAATAAAACATTAAAATTAAATTCAGTAATGAACCCAAATTAATAAACAAATAACCAAAAATAATATTATTTGATTGAAATATAACTTTAATAAGCTTGGTGTTTAAATATTTAAAATATATTCAATAATCAAATTTAAAACATTAAAATAATTGCACCATCATAAATACCATTACTCAAGCATCTTTATCTAACTATATAACTAAGTCAGCAATGAGTAATCCACCTTATAAATCATTTCTAATTTGATAAAGATTTTAAAAAGGCTTATTGGGATAAATTATATCGACTTTTTCCTAAGTGTCGAACATACAGTTCAATTTATTGGAGATTAATCAAGTAAAATATAATTAAAACAATAAAATAAATGGGTTATTTTTGCTTTTTTGTTGTGTTAACCAATGTTTTCAAAAAATTTTGTAAACAACTGCGAGATCTATTTTGGGCTATTATTTTTTTAACCTCCTACTTATATTGGTAATATTATAATATAATAATACCAATTCTGACGTAGGAAGAGAGAGAGGGTGTATTCTACAAACATAACCAACTTATTCTGAGCAGGGTATTGGTGAGAATTATCATAGCCAAGCTTACTATGGTTATGATAATTTAACATTCTCAGCCATCAAAAGCCCAAATTCTGTTTCTTGTTGTGATATCTCAATATATATTCTATATTCTCAGAGTATGATATAATTTTTATTTTTTAATCCTTTTAGTTGATCAAGGCATGCTTTCATTATTAATAGGAGGCAGACCTTTTATTATTAATAGGAGTAATGTATTGTTTTTACCATGTCATAATTTGGCATATTTGATCATAGATAATAAAAAATTCAGAGAATTTTATGAAAAAAACATTGAAAATGGTTATTTTAAAAGCTAGGAGAAATTAGTGAAATTTTACTGTTAAAAATCTGAATCATTGCAGGTCACAAAATTTTTTATATATTAATAAAATATACACAAGTACACATTATGACACTTCAAAAATATTACACTATGTTCATCAGTTTTCAGTGATAAACAATGTTTTATTCCCCCTTTTTTTTTTTTCTTCTACTATAAAAAAAATTATAAAAAATCATTCCCATGTCAATAATGGCAGTTCCTTGTTTTTAAATCAAAAAAGCATCATTTGGATTTATTAAATACATTTAAAAATCAGTATTACAAATGATATTTCTATTGTTTTTAGTGTGAAACAGGCTGCTTTAATGTTTGCATTGGTATCTTGAAGAGAGGTTGTTTAATTTATGTTAGATTCCTTACTGACTTATCCTATTTATTTAATTTTTTTTTCTTTTTTACAATGATTCCATCAATCAATGTCAGTTAATGTGGATGTGAATGTCAGTATTTATAATGTTAATATTGTACTAACTATGTAATATTATTCTTTATATATATATAGTAGCTTGTTTTTACAAGTATATTTTCAATTTGTAGGCCTCCACTAATTGCATGATGGTCTAACTTCCCCCAGGGACCAACCATACTGGGAAGTATGGGCTGGAATTCAATCCTATAATCTTCACTATTATAGCATGCTAACCTCTCTGTTATACCTGCCTCCATGATATAATCAATATTAAATAAAAAAGTTAGCGTTTATTTTATTTTGTTTTGTTTTTTCTGTTCCACTACAATCCATGGAGAGTATAGAGTTCAGTACTTTGTAAAGAAGTAATGTTTCTCAGTCTGCAGTTGTGCTAAGTACAAATTGGACTACAAGGTGTTTTATCTTAACTAATTATTTAAATAAGAGTACCCGCTTTACAAAGCCTGAGTGTGCCCAATGAGTCTCCTGACTGCAAGATTATAACACTCCTTTTATAACATAATAGATAATTATCACATATAATATAATCACATATAATATAATACCACAGTCACATACAATCCCCAGAACTTTGAGTCTTACTCTCTGAGCTACCCCATTCCCGCTTAGTGCTTATTGCCTTATAATATTTTATATACAGGAAAAATAATGACGTGTAGATAATGTTCCATTACTAATTCTTTGTCGACCTCTAATTTTTCTAAAAAATGACCTTGAAATTGGAAAAAATTTTGGGAATTTCATTTAAAAAAATTTAGTAGATACCCTGCAGTTTTATTTATAGTGTCCCATCTTGTTATTATCAGATCTCTTTGTTAGTTATTGTTTTGAAAATACAAATAGATATCTTCGAGCTTTGTTTTTTTGTCTATCTTAATGTACTTGTATTATTATGTAAAATATATACTGTTAGGTATCCTTAAATAATTTCGCATTATTAATATTTAATTTAAAAATTATGGATACTTTAATTGTAATGCTGATCTCTAATAATAATTGATCATATGATAAAATATATATTGTCTAAATATTTAATTGTTGCTATTGAAATTATTAAAAATTTAATATTTCAATGTCAACCTCTCCTCCTTGTTTCAAAAATATGCCTAAAATATCAATATTTTAAGTTCTGTTCAATATTAAAATCCCTACTGTTTTCTAAGATTAAAATTATCTATGGCTAATATATATATATATTAGCCATAGATAATTTTAATCTTAGAAAACAGTAGGGATTTTAATATTGAACAGAACTTAAAAAAAAAAAAAAATATATATATATATATATATATATATATATATATAACATGGTCAACAAACCTCTGTCAAGGGATTACTAATTAAATAGAAATCATTTTATTGGGCTAATTGGTATAAAACCTGAATATATTTAAAAATAATATATAATATAATTATTTTATAAATAAATATTTTATTAATGTAGTTTTTGGCCTGTAAGGTTTTCTATTCTTTGTGCATATTTGTGATTCTTGAGGGACCTCGTCCTAGAATTAAGTTCTATTCTATTTTCTATATAATTATTTCACATTTTATGTAATTAATTATATTTGTAAATATTAGATTTATTTTTTTTTACTCAGTGGATTCAGCAAAAAGTATATTTTAAAAATTCTTAACAGTTTATTTTTTTAAATATTTTTTTTGCTGTATCTGGTGTTTAACTATTGCGATAAATCCTCTGATTATTCCTCTTGCCAATTGATCATAAATATTTCCTGAATCCATTTCTATTATGAAAGAATATTAGCTAATGCTAATGTCACTGTATTGTTATGTTTAAGAATTTCAATTGGTGATTCAACCTCATGGTGTAATTTTTATCTTCATCTAAATAGACAGATTCCATCGTAGATAAACTTGTTTAATTATAGATATCATGTAACATTTTTTAATGAAATTTGATATGTGCTGACAAAAAAAATTAAAGGTAACCATTGTTCAGTTATCACAAGTGTGGCTTAATAGATTATTTTTGCTATTACTATCATCAGGTTTCAACTTTATCCCTTCCCCTTCTTTGTCGTAAACCTTGGTATCTTCTGTCTTCATCCTTCAGTTGAGCATTTACACTACCTCAAGCAACTAATAAAATACCTAATTAAACATTTGAAATTTGCCGCATCTTTTATTTGTTTTGTGATTCTTTTCAAGGTTTATATTTCGTGTTGGCATTGATGCATTAAGTGATAAAAGGTAATTATTTATTTTTAATTTACATATGTATGAACAAAAAGAAAAAAAAAATGATAATTAAATAAAATAATATTAATTAAATTTGTATATTAATATTAATATTTCATAATAATGCTTATTATTGTTGTTATCGTTTTATTATCATTGTAAACTGGATAGAAATGGATTTTCTTTAAAAAAATATTAGGTGACAACTTTCATTTTTATTATTTAAAAAAAAATGTGTATGTTTATTATTGTCTAACTGTTATTTTACAAAATTTCATATCAAATAAATATAGTTGAGAAAAATAAATTACGGTTAATAGTTGGTAGATCTTTTCCTCTCACAACTGAAGATTTTGTTTGTAAATAATTGAATTGTACAAAAATTTAATCTAATTGTTTTCTTAAAATCAAAAGGTTTTAATCTCTTACGAAATTTAACTAACATTAAAGTAAAATGAGTATATTTAATTATTTTTTATAAGGAATAGTAATGATCTGAAAAATTTCTTTAAAAATATTAACTCTTGTTATTAATTAATTATCCATTATAAATATATATTTATATTGCAAACATTAAAAACTTTCTTTCTGGAGTAGTTACTCATATTAATGTTTAACTGAAATTGAAAAATAATTGTTTTATTATCATCTCCTGTTTGTAACTAATTACTAGTTTGGTGAAAATAATAACTGCATTTATCACTCAAATAGAGGTTGAACTTTAAATTACTTTTTTATCTCTTTTTAGCTATTAAGAGCTTGAAACCACATCTAAATAGAATTAAGATGCAACAAAAATATATATATTTTTTTAAAAAATTTACTCCAAGTTAAACTTTCTGTAGTGTGAAATTTTGCACATAAAATTATAATAAAATGGCATTTCAGTGTGATTCACAGCAGATAATTAAAGGCTTAAATAAATCAATTAATTTTAAACAAGTTTTATACTTTCGGCTCTCGGTAAAGAATTACTTCTTTGGACTTTACTTATAATTGTTACATTTCCTGCTTATAAAAAAGAGTATTGAAAAATCATATTTACAGCATTTTGTATTTATGTTTCGCATGTTTACCATGTTTTTATATTTGCAAGAACTCAGCCAATGATATGAAAAATCCTTTATTATATATTTTCAATTATTATTATTGTTTCATCTGGTTTTATATACAAAGAGATTTATTCTTATAAGTAAAGAAGCCTTATTGAGTAATTTAAACAATGCATTATTTTTTTAAACAGTTATATTTTCAATAAATATTATTGTAAAGAGTCAAATTCCTGATTGATTTAAAAATTAAAATTAATTATAAAATCAAAATATAAATTTTAATCTGGAGAAACAGGTTTAAAGTTTGTAGAATCCCAGATTCTAAAAAAAGTTTGTCATTTTTCATACCATTGGAATAATTTTCCTCCAGAAAATAGTTTAATAATTATGTAAATCAGTATATTGTATAAAAGATTTTTTTTAACTTGTCATAAACATTTTAGTTGATATGGGTGCTTAAAAGCTCAGGCTTAATGGACTTAATGTGTAAATCTATTACACATACGGGCCTAGGTCCGTTAGGTTAGATAGAATAAAAAATAATTATTTAGCTGCACCCTCAAATATCATTGTTCATTAGAATATTTGTTACAACTTTGAACTTTAGTAGTAAAAACTGCTTTGAACAAGGCAAAATGTCTTAAATAAAATGTAACTTCAACCATAAATTAAAAGAACTTGAACTGAGCTTTTCATCTGTAAATAACTTGCAAATGATTAATATAAGATAAGGCAATTTGTTCAGAAATTCAGTTTAAACCCTTTCATATTGAACTTCTACTTAATGAAAACCCCCTATGTATCAATTTTTATCAGGAACCTTGAATAGCTCTTGGAAAATAACTATCTCTTTATCAAATAAAATTTCTATGTGTCTCAAAACAAAATTTTCATTATTATTATGTGAATAAAAAAATTTCAAAATGCAATATAAATTCTCAGAATTTCTAATTTTGGCCTATTTTTTCTTTCTTTACTTAGAATGAGATTTTAATTATAAAAATCAGTTTAGGTAACTAGATGAATCATCTTAAAATTTATTATTACTCTTAAAATTATCTCATAACTTTGTTTATTTCATTACTTTATTATTGTACCTTTGTCACCTTTGACTTCATTACTTTTCATCATAGCTTAATTATATTTTTGCACCTTAACATCACATGTAATACTCATATATTTTAATTTTTATTCACTTATTAAAATTTATTTATTGACAGATAAGATATTTTGTTCTCATATGCTTTTAAAATTATTGTTTAATAATTTCTGGTTATTATCTTGTCTTTCTTATGCCCTGATAAAGGCCTGCAAACGTCGCCACAAAATAAAATTTTAAAAATTTATTTTTATTTGTGTTTTCTGTCTGACTGCAACCCCATGCAACTTTTTTTCAATTTGAAAATTTAATCTGGATAAAGCTGACCAATAGTTGGTTTGATAATGTGTAGCCCCATGAAATATATTGAATCAATAAAATAAACAATTTGACAACAGCTATATGACAAGTGGAGCACTCATAACAAGAATTTAAATTGTAAAGAAAAAATAGCTCTGATGATGGGAAAAAATACCAAAACGTCAGCAATGATGAGATGAAATTTAACATTAAATTGTTTCATCTGTTATTTTTTTTTTATTGAATATTAATACATTCTGCCACATTGAAGGGCATTAATATTAAGGCTACATGATTCATTCACACAATATGTACATACAATTAATATCAATAATAAAGAGAAAGAAATATAAAAAAAAATAAAATAAGTAAATTGGTATGCCTGTGTACAAAAAAAAATAATGAAATAATAGATAAAAGCTAGATGAAATTAAAGTAAATAAATCACATTCACACCTATGTACAATATTTACATTCACCCAGGGGACTCTGAGTCATTCCTTATTCCCCGACGTGGAAGCCAAGGCAGGACTCAAGGAGATCCCAGTGCTTCTCTCTCAGCCGCATCACTGTTATTTGAAACCAGTGGAAACTGATGGAGGGCACTATAGCAACAGACGCTCATGTCTTGAGTGGAGAATCTGGCCATTGCCAGTACTCCAATATATACATAATTACAAAAGGTCGCGGGGCCACTGCCGTTTTAGCCTCCGGGGAGGATTGTAGGGATGGCTGGAGCTAGATAGAGATTGTGCTACAGGATTTGGATGATGAATGAGTTTCTGGTGAAATTTGGAAAATTTTTCTGGGATTAGGTCAATAACACATGGCATATGAAGGTCATTATGGAGGGTTTTGTTGGATACATAGAAGGGAGCATCGACTGTTGTTCGGAGGATTTTAGACTGGAAGGATTGAATGCGTTTGATGTTAGAAAGTTTTGCTGTCCCCCACAGTTCTATTCCGTAGGTCCAAATAGGTTTCAGGATTGTTTTGTAGATTAATAGTTTGTTGTCGACTAAGAGTTGAGATTTTCTATTCAATAGTCTATATAGTTGTCCGTATCGTCTGTTAAGTTGTTGTCTTTTAAGTCTGGTGTGTGGGTTCCATGTTAGTCTTTTGTCTAGAATAAAGCCAAGATACCGGACTGTGTCGGACAGAGGAAGTGGTATGGAGTTGAAGTAGACTGGTGGACAGGAATTGCGTCGAAGGGTAAAAGTAATATGTTTGGATTTGGATTCATTTACTTGGATTCACCACTTATTACACCAGTGTTCAATAAGAGAGAGGTGACTTTGTAGGTTTAAGGATGCTATTTCAGGATCTGGATTGGAAGATAAGATGGCTGTGTCATCAGCGAATGTAACATTAAATTGTAATGCAAGTTTTTTATTTCCAACCTTTTAATAATTTACTTAAACTTACCAACTAAGGAAGGAAAAAGTAGATAATATATTTTTTATTGAATTATGAAATTTTAAAAATATAGATTCTTGGGTATTAAACTGCCAGTATTTGGTGGTTTGGGAACTACAAAAACAAGAACTATCAGCAATTTTCGATTGCTAAGCACACATTTATCTTCCAGATACTGTAGCAATAAAATGACATCAATTCCACTTTCGCAGATAATGCTAATTCTATGGAATTGACATTTGTTAAGCCGTTAAATCATTGTTTTATGATGGATGGATGTTTTCGACAATTCATTATTATATTTATAATATATTATCCATTTGTGCATAAAATAGAGAAATTGATTATAAATATTTAACAATTTTACAAATATCTCATCAATAATTTAAATTTATATTACTATTAAAATATTTAATTTATTATCGCTATTAAAATAATTTTATCCTATTAGTTACTGAAAAGGAATTGTTATATTAATTTTCAATGTTTCTTACAATTATAACTTTTTTTTTCAATAACCTCCATGTTTTTTATCTAGTTTTAATTATCTCTAATTCTACTAAATAATGATTAATCATTTATGCCTCTCATACTGGCTAAGATTTTTAATATTATTACAATTTATTCTATTAGATAACTTAACTTGCACTTACACTACTTACAATTGTTTCATCAAAAAATAAATTGCAATATTAATATTTGTTTACAGTGGCAAACCTAGAAAATCTATAGGCCAAGGGGAGGAGATTTTCTTTTTAAGCGGTTAAAAAAAAAAAAAAAAGCTTTCTCAATAAAAATGATAATGTTACCGTCTAAGTTAAAATAAAATATATAATGTATATAACACCAGAGAACATAATATAGAGTAGGATAGGCAGTGCAGTGAATATTCTGTGCAGTGAAAGCTGGGAGATGTCAGGCAAATTAGAACAAATAAGGAGCTGCAGGAGTTGTTTGGAGATGGAGACATCGTCTCTTATATCCAACTGGGCAGATTAAGTGGGTTACGACATATAGAGAGGATAGACTCTGGTAGAATCCCTAAAAAACTGCTCTATGGGAAGCCAGATGGTGGACAAAAGCAGGGTAGACCTTGACTGCGATGGTTGAATGATATTGAGGCATATCTGAAGACTTTGGGTGTACACCACTGGAGAAGATATGCTATACACAGAGCCAAATGGAGCAAGCTGTTGATGGAGGCTAAGATCCTATATGGAATGTAGTGCTAGTTTGTGAGTGAGTGAGTGATTAATGGGGAAAACCTGAGGGTTGAGCGTGATCTCAGTCAAATCACCTCCTTGCACTACCATTGATCAAGAAACAATACTTACGAAGCACTGAACTCAAGACCCTTCATAGTTTGTAATGGTACATAGAAAAAAAGGGATTATATTTTTAATTTAAAATACTCCTTATGGTTTAATAATTACTTTTTTTTTCTAGGACCAAAAATGACGATCATAGAAAAAGAAGAAATAACAAATGGGGAAGTAAGTAATTTATTATGTAAAATTAACTTTATTACATTTAATTTTTTTTATTAAATTATATAAATATTATTTATGAATATTTTTTTTAATTGATATTAAAAACATTGGAGCTTATAAATTATCTTTTGGAACTTTCGATGAAGAAATTCTTCATAAACTTATTTATTTTAGTTTTTTCCAACCTTCTAACTTATTATTAAAGTGGCTGATCATTATTATTTACAAACCTTTCAAGGCAATCTTTTAGAAAAGTCCCAACATGTACTTATATAGGTACCCAATATTCAATAAATATATTTTTGTGTTCATATATCTGTATGTATATTTAATCATTATATTTATTGCAGATAATACCTGTAGTTCCCCTGAGCAATTTGGAGACTGTTGATATCATCCACCCTGATCCGAAACAAGAGGAAGTATCCATTAAACCTGTGAGTATTTACATTTCATAATCACAAATTCGTACTTCATTTTTTTAAACTATTATTTATTCATGGTAGAATTTTTTAGGGAGTGGGATAGCTCTGTGTAAGACCACTGATCTTCCAATGCTCAAAGTCCCAGGTTCGAATCCTGGCTGGCTCTTGGCAAAAAAATTATTTATTCTGTTCCATCAGCCATGGGGCAACCCTGGCATAGGAAGGCCCTCCTGAGGCACACCCAGCCTCTATAAAGTGGGTACCCTTAATTAAATAAATAATTAAGGAAAAAAACCTGGAGAAAAAAATCTCTGTCAAATCACCTCCTTGCACAACTGTTGACTAAGAAATAATGCTTTCACTAAAGTAGCACTGAACCCAAGACCCTTCATGGGTTGTAGTGGTACAGGTTTATTTATTATTTTTAAATATAATTTGTTATCATCAAGACCTATGCTAACTACATCAGGCATTAGTCATTAATAAAAATGTTTCCTTGGAGTGTTTTATGGCATACTATCCCTTTTCCATCTTTCGAAGTAGTGACGTTTGGGCAATGTTAATTATTTGATGAACTAAACTAAACTTTTACTGCAAACTAAAAGATTTTCAACCTCTTTTTTTTTTTTTATAAATCAATTTACTTTAATGTTATGTGAGGAAATTATTAGCATATCTTTAGGTATCTAAAAATTCTCTTTACATTTTTAATTTACTTAATAAATATTTACGTATTTTTAAAATTGAAGATATTTTGGTTCTTTATTTAAATTTTATTCAGTTTTCAGACAGCTGCCTTTTTTTTTTTTTTTTTAAATTCATTATACATACATAGTTAGCACAAAAACACACACACAAAAAAAATCTAGCTAATAATCCTTCTAAAAAGTCAATTTGTTAAACACAGATTTTAAATGTATGGAAGTTCAGCTTTGTTTTATATATGAGTTCCTCTATATTAAATCTGTCCTATTTTTGAACTTGCATTTTTAATGTGTTAAAATTATAATTTTTTTTCTAGTGCGGAGGTCCACTGGGCCAAATTCTCAGTGATTTTAGAAAATCCATCAAAGATAAAATAAGCAAGCATTCTAATACATTTTTCAATTTCCTTATAATATTGGGTGTAACGCTAATTGGAGTATACATCGGTTTCATGATAAACAATTTTATAAATACAGGTAAATAAAAAAAAATCAGTGTTTTTTTGTTCATTTTTGTATTTTTATATCACTTAAATAATACTTAAGATTTAAATTTTATTTATACTAATGTATATACTCGCTCTATGGAAAATAAGCTCAGATAATTGTCTTGCTAAGGATTAATAAAGTAATTAAAAAAAAAAAGAATATTTATTATTATTTGCCCAAATGTCTTGTTTTTTTGTTTTTTTTTTGTATTTATTCTTATACTAGCTAATGAATTTCTCTAAAAATAAATTAAAAATTTTCCCATCAAACCCCATTGTTGGATTGTTAAAAAATCTTGTAATAGCTATTAGAATTTTTTCAACTTTCTTTACCAACTTTTAATTTATTATTAATTAAAATTTGGTAAAAAAACTTGAATAGTATTGTAAATTAATTTTTTGTTAGCTATGTTTATATTATTTGACTAAATACAATCATTTTATTTTCAGGAAGCCATATAGACTGGTGTTATGGTTATGGCAAAGCATTTATCACTATCGCTGCTATATTATGGTGTATAGCTTATTATAAGGGTTTAAAACCTTTTTTTCATCCTAATTTTAAAAATTTAACAAAAAGTGCATATTATGTGAAAAATATAAAGTAAGTACAAATTGGATGAATCGCACAAGTACACTTTCACCTGTTTCAGGAAAATTGGGCATCAGCCAACAATTGATAACTCAAATACCTAAATAATACTTAAATATTATCTTAAAATGATTAAAATATTAGTTCGTACTACTCTAGTTTTTTTTTTTTTATTTATTTATTTATTTACATTAATATGATATACTTATTGTTTTTAGAAATTTAAACCTGAGCTGTGGAGCTCCACCAAACCTTCAAATTCCTCTCGTATCCAATCCTTAAAATCCAAAATCCTTCGTAAAATCCTCAATGCTCCTTACTTTGTTGCATATAAAATCATCCATAATGACCTTAATGTTCCTTATGTATCAGATTTGGCCCAATCTAGACTTGCTTCCTATTCAATTCCTGATAACACTCTGAGGCGTCTGAAAAGAAGACGGCCACATGATCTCCTAATATAGACATATTATTAGAGTGCTACCAATGGGTAGTTTCTCAACATGTGTTTCATGTCATTATATCCATGTGTGAATTTACTACATGTATTTTTGTATGCAGTTGCAAATATCATATAAATAAATAAAATAAATAAAAATAAAAATACAGAATTTTTTTTTAAATCTGTTTATTGAATAATAATACAATCAGCCACTGCTGGAGGGCTATAAGCATTAGGGCTAAAAGTTCTCATTCATACAACATATACATAATAAAGAAATAAATATAAATATAAGAAGTAAATAAATAATACTGATGAAGAAGTTAAATAAAAAGAAAACAAAATAAAAAAATAAAATAAAAACTTCTAAACACAATCATAACTATATACAACAGAAAAATTAAAACATTTTAATAAAATCGAAATTAGGAAAAATTTACAAAATATTATTCGGTTATTCTTGTACACTGTGATATATAGATGTAAGATTAAAAAGATTTCAAGGTAAAAATAAAACATTGATTTGTCATTAACAACGATTTTATTTTCCTGTAAAATATGGAATTTTTTGATAATGAAATAAATTGATCTTATCATGACAAATGAGAAACTTTAAACTATAATTAATTTTTATTTTATTTATCTTATTAGATTTATCATTTCTTTTGGAGGTTAAATACTCTTTTCTTGAAAAACAAATATCTCACATTAATAGTTAGTAGGTTTATTATTAAATATATATATATATATATATATATATATATATATATATATATATATATATATATATATATATATATATTATATATATATATATATATATATATATATATATATATATAGACACTAACACTTAGTGTATACTTGTTTAGCCTATAATTTGTTTTTAAAAAAATTAATTAGCTTCAAATTTAATTATTAATTTTCACAAAACATTTTCATTTATGATCGATCACTTTTTATCTAAAAGATAGCCTAGTCTTGAATTAAGCATAATCCCTAATTGTGCAATCAGTCTTCAATGAAAATATGAAATATCGATTAAATTATATAGGGTGTCCCAAAATTAACTCAAGATTTAAATTAAATATAAAACACATTTATTTCTTCTTTTGTTTTCTTTTTCTTAGTCAATTTAACAGCTGGTAGCTTAGGGTTAGTAAAAATGTGTTTTCATTGTTGTACAATATTTTTAAAAATAATGATAGACAAACAGAGTGTTTAACATCACTAATTGAATCAGTCTGCTTGAATTTCTCAATCACTCCCTTCAAAGTTGATGAAGTTAAATCACTATTCCGACCATATTTTGTCATCAAATATTTTGTACGAAAGTTTCGAACTGTGGCCGCTAGACTTTCATGGTTTTTAAAATATTGTTCAAAAAGGAAAACACGTTCGCTCTTAAAACGCTCCATTTTTACAAGCCCCTATCACCTTTTAAATTGACAAAAGAAAAGAAATCAAAAGAAGAAAGAACTGTTTTATATTTAATTTAAATCTTGCATTCATTTTGGGACATCCTTTATGACCAGATATATATTTATGTGTTTTTTTTTTTTTTATTTTAAAATAAATGTGTAGAAACAATTTTTTTTTGTTTTAGGTATATGAAATATACAGTCTATTTAGCATTTGTAGTAGCATTTATCGTTTTTATTATATATGATACATCTAATAATAGGAGAAGGCTCATTTCGTTACTAGGAGTCATATTTTTCTTATTCATTTCTTTCATATTTTCCAAACATCCTGAATATGTGAGTTCTATTTATAAATATTTCATAAAATCTTAAGGTCATTATAAAATAAATTATAACTATCCTTTTATTTTATTTTTGTTAGATCAGATGGGACACAGTTTTGTCCGGAGTTACATTACAGATTTTATTTGGTCTCTGCACGATACGTTGGGAAACTGGCAGAAACATATTGAAGTGCTTTGGTGATAATGTTGTCAACTTTTTGAATTTTGGTTTAGATGGAGCTACTTTTGTGTATGGAGATACATTAATAGTCAAGGAAATGGTTTTTGCTTTTCAGGTAACGAACAATAAGTCAACTAAGAAAATATTTGAAAATGTTTCGACATAGCACATCCATGTTTGATGTTCTAAGACTGTTAAAAAATAAACATTAAATTGTGCATTAAAAAATTGGGTACCATACCATTTAAATTTTTATTAAAGTTTCTAATGAAGTAAATTTAATAATTAGATAATGTTTTAAATCTAAAGAAAATAACAACTGATAATGATTAGGTTTGCTATGTGCATGAACATTACTCCTTAAACAAATTTTACATTGATTTTTTTTAAATTATATAATGCATGCACAATACAGTACAACAAAAACTAAATCTTGCTGAGTAATTTAAACAATTTTTTTTTCTTTTTTGGAGACGATTCAGAATTTTTAAAAATATATGGAAGATAATAATCCCATCAATCTAGATTTTTCCATAGTTTATTGTATACCTAAATGATAAACCTTTTTTTAGCTAATCCTTTAAGTGCTTCAGAGATAAAGTACTTTACATAATCAATATTTAAGTATTTCAAATTTAATATAGCTAAATCAATTATATACACGGATTTAAAAAAAATTCTTGTATTTACAGGCATTATCAACATTATACTTCTTGGCTATGTTTGCTAGAATCTTATTCTACCTCGGTTGGTTGCAAATATTTTGCTTCAAGATTGGCAGTGTTATCGAAATGTGTCTTGGAACCACGGTCATTGAAAGTATTAATGCTATAACAATTATATTTTTGGGAATGGTAAGTAATTTAGTAAATCATGATTTTTTAAAGAAAAAAATTACAAAAAATAATTGTTTAATGCAATAGTAAATTTTTATTAATATAAAATATAGTATTAGAATTAAAACAGATTTTTTTTTTTAAGTTACATTTAATGGTGTAATCATATTTTTACCTCTTTAGCATACTTCCCAACATACCATTCTGAACACAATACTCCTAATCTCTGCAAAGTTGTTTAATTTTAAAATTGTAAAAATACAAAAACAACATAAAAAATTATGTTTATTTATTGTGTTCAAAAGAATTTAAACTTAGATTATAATGTCGTTATTTAATATGCAATAATGATGATTACACTAAACCAGAATTCATAAAAGAGTGGGCATTAAATTGTATATCATGGGCAGTTTGTCAAATCCCCTCTGCTTGGAAATTCTCATTTTCATTTCTCATTAACAGTAATAAGTAAATAAAGAATGAATTCATCTATTATTTAATAGTAAAAGAAGAATGAAGAGCTATGAAAAAAAATTAATAATGATAATGACATTAGAAAAAGAAAATAAAAAACTGTACCACTAACAATCCATGGAAGGTCTTGGATTCAGTACAATGTGAGGAAATACTGTTACAATGGTTGTGCAAGGAGGTGACGGGCCAATATCATGCTCAACCGCCAGATTTTTCCTCTTAATTAAATAATTTATTAAGAGGAAAAACCTGGGTATGAGTACTCTTTATAGAGACCGGGTTTGCCCCAGGGGGGTCTCTTGGCCTCAGGGTCGATCCACGGCTGATGAAAATTACTTGTCATCAGCCGGATTCTGGGATCTTGAGTTCTGGAAGTCAGTGTTCACCCACTGAGCTACCCCGCTCACTAATAACATTAGAATTTTAGTCAAATATTAATTAACATGATTAACATTAACATTAATTAGTAATACCATAATTTATATATCCTCAAAACTTCAAAATAATAATTAATTTAAGTGATGTTTGTTATATTACAGTCAGAAGCTCCACTTTTGTACTCTGTTTATTTGGTAGACCTATCGTCTTCAGAACTGCACGCAATAATGACTTCAGGATTTTCCACGGTTGCAGGTAATTGAAATTCTACAGATTGAAACAAAAATTAATAGTAACAACTCTAGGAAATACCATAAACATAGCAGTATGTATTTGAATATTAAAGAAAATGTATCTAGTTTTTTTTTATGATAAATATAACTAATAGAAATATTATTATTGCCATATTGGATATGGTATCCATAATTGAAATTAATGGTAGAATGGAAGCAGAAATCGAAAAAAGAATCACAAATGACAAAAAAATAGTGGAAATTCTTAACTCACTACTGTGGAACAATATTTTAATAAAAACAAAAACTGATCAACAAAGCATTACTAGAAAGTTTAATGCTGTATGGTTCAGAGACATGGTCTCTCAGCATGACACAAGAGAAAATTAAATGTATGCAGTAGAAATGGATTTTTGGAAGAGAGTAGCAAGGATATTGAGGATTGAAAAGGTTAGAAATATCACTATAAGGGAGAAATTGGAAGTGAAATAAAATGTCATAAAGGTGGTGGAAGAAAGAAGACTCAGATGGTTTGGCCGCATGAGACAAATTAATGACAATAGGAAACCAATGCTAATAATGGATTGGGAGGCAGATGGTAGAAGGAGAGAAAGATCCCCAGTTAGATGGGAGAATACAGTGGTAAGGAGGGCACGATGGACCGGTAGAGATGGAAGAACCTACAGAGGCAGGGATTTGGATGAGAAAAACTTCTCATTGAAGAAATTCCTAAGAAAAAATATTATTGCCTCATGTTACTCAGTATATATTAAAGAAAATAAAGTCATCTCCACAAGACGAGGCTGAGGATCCTAAGAGTAAATTATATAATCAAGCAAGAATGGATGCAGACCACCTTGACTCATGCCCTGCTTTGATGGCTATAAAAAAAAAAAGAACAAAAAAACCTGTACCACTACAACCCCTGAAGGGTCTTGGGTTCAGTACTATTTCTAGGTTAATTGTTATGCAAGAAGGTGATTTGACCGAGATCATGCTCATCCACCTGGTTTTCCCCCTTAATTAATTATTTAATTAAGAGAACTCACTTTATAGAGGCTGGGTGTGGCCCAGGCTGGTCTTCTGACTCAGGTTCCTCCCACATCCCATGAAACAGATAAATAAATTTTCTGCCATGAGCTGAGGTTTGAACCTGGGACCTTTAGCATTGGAAGCTCAGTACCCTACCTCTGAGCTTCACCACTCCCAAAAAATATATGAAAAAATCTAACTTATACTGGGCAGCAAGATATCGGATGGTCAAATGACTAATGACGTTAGAATAAGAAAAAAAATTAAAAAACATTGAAGAAAACTAAAGTGTAATTCTTGTAACTCATTTTACTTTTACTTTTGCACTTATCCTTTTGAATCATCTTTGTTTCTTTTTTAATTTTCAGTCATCTTCAACAATCAAGCTAATGGCAAACATTATTTCTTGATATAATTTCTTATTGCTTATGCCTAAATTTCACTAGGCAATATAATTACCAAATTCCAAAAGTTAGAGTCAATATATATTTCTTTTTAAGGAACGTTACTCGCTGCATATACAACGTTGGGTGTTGATCCAAGATATGTTCTAACAGCTTCGATGATGGCAGCCCCTGCTTCTCTCTGCTTTTCAAAGCTCCTCTACCCTGAAACTGTTCAGTCAAAGACTACTTCTAAAGAAATAACACTTTTAAACAGGTTTGTCTTTGTAATCGTTCAATGTAAGTTTGAATAGTTAATATATTTGATAATTCAAAGTTTAAATAATTCTATCATGTTGCAGTAACGATGCCAACCTTCTCCAAGCGGCTAGCAATGGGGCTTTATCAGCCATCGGAATGGTCCAGGGTATAATTGCGAGTGTAATCGCTTGTGTTGCATTTATTTCATTTCTAAATGCAGTTTGCTCATGGCTAGGAACATTAGTTGGATATGATGGGATAACTTTAGAGGTAAACTATTTACCCTGGCTTCAATTAGAATTGTTCTAACATTATCATAATTATCTTAATGATGTAGAGATGGTTGACCGTGATATAATATGAGAAGGGGGGTGGGGTCAAATAAATACTAAATTATACAAATAATATAAATAAATAAATAATAATAAATAAATATAATATATAAATAAAAAAATAAATAATAGCAAATAATATAAATAGTATTAAATAATACTATTTGTATAATTTAGTATTTATTTGACAGCACCCCCTCCCCCCCCCCCCCCCCCCCGATCAACTCCTCAGAAATTATCTTAAATTAAAATTAGACAATTGTCAATGATGGAAAATTAAGACATTTTGCGGAAGTCTTTTTTTTTTTTTTTTTTTTTACTTTTTCAAATGAGCTTTTGCATCGCTCTTTGGCATTTCCTAGGTTGCTTTGATATTATTTATGTCTGTGCTTATTGATCAACAAAAAGTATTATTAAATTATATCAGTCTCTTAATATTTAGCAATGTTGTGGCTGATTCACTTATAACTTATACAAGTTTCTTTAAATCTTATTTATAATTGTCCTTCATGGAAAGAGAAGATTCATCAGTACTTTAGAACAACCCATCTGGTTTCAATGTTACTTAGTACTTATAAGTATATAAATTAATGAAGCTATTGATGCTGACTTAATCTTATCAATTTAATTCAGTATAATTATCTAGGAGCACTACTCAGTAGAATTAAAAATGGTCTAAGAGCTTTCAAACAGGATTATGGAAGCTTATAACACATGCAACACAGTGGTGGAAAACAGTGTAAAATTACACGTTTTTAAGTTCATCTAACTGCCTACCCTTATCTACTCAAGTGATAGCTAGGTCCCTCTGGATAGGCACTGGAGTAGAGGTACAACCGTGGAAATGAAGTACCTCCGGAGGGTAGAAAGTAAGATTTAAGAATGAGAGAATATGAGGGAGTTACATGGGAGTTACCTACGTCGACGGACATGATCAAAAAGAAGCAACTGAGGTTTGTGCTGAATGGATAAGGACTAGGATCCAAAGAAATTTTTTCTAAGCCAATCCAATTGGATGTCTTTCTCAAGGAAGCCTATATTGCTAAGGACGGACTACATCTCCAGGATCGGCCAATAGAAGGGAAAGTCTATAAATACCTTGAAAGCTCTGTTTCAGGCTTGGCAGGCTTGAATCGGGGCACCTCTCTGCTGAAAGGCACAAAGCAGGATAATCTAGAAGAAGAAGAATTTAACTCAATTTCAAAGAAACTTGTAAACTATTTTATTGCAGAAACCAATGTTTCAAACAAACTCCATATTGAATATATAAGGAACTTCTTATATTTCCTTTGTCACATTGGCTTAGTTTCCTTAAAAATATCTTTTTTGAGCAAATAATACCCTTATAAATTTAAATTGAATTAATCATAAATTTGATTAATCATACTTATACATCATATCGCTGAGTAAGTAAAGTATAAATTCATAAGAAGTGGTTACTTTATAGAAATTTGTTTTTTCAGTATTTGGTCGGAATGCTACTTGTTCCAGTTGCCTGGCTGATGGGAGTCGACCCCGAGGAATGCCAAACCGTCGGCAGCCTTATTGGTATCAAAACTATGGCCAATGAATTCATAGCATATAAGCAACTTGGCCAACTCAAAGCAGCGGGAAAACTATCAGTATGTTTCATTACAATATAAGCCAATTACTAAACTTTATTAGCGAGTTAATATAATTATTTTCTTTTCTTTCAGGCAAGATCAGAAGCTATAGCAACATTTGCTCTTTGCGCTTTCTCGAATCCTGGTGCCCTGGGTAGTAGCATTGCTACCTTGACAACTCTTGAAAAGAGGCAGAGTGAAAAAATTCACAAAGTTGCGTTAAGGGCCTTCGTTGCTGGTTGCATTACAACATTCACTTCAGCATGTATAGCAGGTACTTAGAAACTAAAAACTAATATAATAATAACAGCCCTTATTTGAATCCATTTAGATATTTACACTATTCATTTTATTTTTTATTTACAATATCATTATACTAGATTGTTAAAAAAGTTCTTGTGCATAAGTATAACTTTATTTCATATTATATATTTTAAACATTACTGAATACTACTCTTCTAAGTAAAGTCCATTATTTTTAACTACTTTCGCCCATCTTTCTGCCAGTAATCGGATTAGATGTCGGTGCCACTCTTTTAGTTTGTGGCAAAGAACTTTTCATATCTAATTTTTAGGTCCTCGTAATTATCAAAGAGCCGACTTTTTAAAAAATGAGCCATGGTGCAATATCTGGGCTATACAAAAGATGAGGCATAATGTTTACTGCTTGTAGTTCCTATAATTTTTCCTTGGTCAAACGAGAACAATGTACGGGGGCATTGTCAAGCGGCAAAACGGCTTAGTTCCTGCTGATCAAAGTGGGGTAATTTCAGCACTTAAAACTGCATAAATTCTGTCTAGCTATTCATATTAAAGGTTTGAGCCCACTTCCCGATTATCAGTAACAAGCTCAAAATGCAAAACCCTCTGTATGCAAACCCAAAGTTATACCAAACACAAAGCATCACTTTTTTCCCAAACCGATCTTGGCGAACCTTCAGTTGTGTAGCTTCATCTTGCCGAACCCACTGCTTATGTTTACTAGGGTTTTTTAAAAATATTCACTTTTCATTCATGATACTTTTTTTCAAGATTCTATCATCTTTGAGATTTTGAAGCAAAATTTTGCAAATATAAACTTACTGCTGGACTTGGGTCTTAAATTCATGTGGGTCACACCTTGGTCTATAATTCCATACATCCAGGTTTTTAAGATGACAAATCACTGTGGTATTAGAAGTTCCTTCTATACGAGTAGCTGCATGTAGATCCTGGTTCATACATTCAATAGAAACATCACGATCGCTGTCAACCTGATCTGGGTTCATTTTTTTAGGCTGTGTTTATTATTTGGTGTTTGGGGTGGTTAGAGGTGAAATTGAGTACTTTATTGCTTGTTTATTCTTTTTTTGTCCATTTTGTTTGTATTTGTCCGTCTTTTAAAACTATGTCCATGTTTAAAAATCTTATTTTATCATCTATTGTTTTTTCCAATGTGAAATTTATTCTCTTGTTGTATTTGTTAAAACAGTCCTTTATTTCATTTGCAGTGTTTCTTTTGATTATTATGAATAAATCATCTATATATTTTTTTATTAGGATTGGTTTATTTTTTAATTTTGTGCTTTGTGTTGATAGAAATTTATTCAGATATATTCCACTAAGATTGGTGGATAATGTTGAACCCATGGCCACCCTCCCCCTCCCCCCATAGTTGTTTGTAATATTGATGATTGTATTTGAAATAATTAAATTTTGTACATAGCTCCACTCCTTCTAGGAAAATTTTTTTATCTTTAATTTTTGTTTCTGTCTTTATGACCTGACAGATGATCTGACAGAACATCTTTCATTTCAGTCGGTTCAATGTGGCTGTAAGGCATTTTCGACAAAACAACAAACAACTGATAATATGTTAATTAAAAAGTTGTTTGCTTTATTTTCTTTTAGTTAAAATGTTACAGATATGGAAAAAAAAAAATCAGGTTTCTTTCTTTATGGTATCTTACTTAACATCAGAGACGGACTGAATTTTATGTTATAATTTTTGACATTCTATTCATAACTGCTTAGTTATATTTATTAATAACATTATTCATTATGATTTTATTGTAATTCCTTTTTTTTTTTTTTTTTCTAGGTTTGCTGACGGACTGAAGTTTAACTAAAATTAAATTGTAATCAATTTTTATATTCAAATAACTGTTTCTCTTCATCAGATATTGCAACGCAACTAACAGTAGAAAGAAAATATATATTATGTTCCTATCATGTAAATAATTACAAATGTAAATAATTTATTACTCCGATTGTGTTTGTATTATATCCAAACATACTGAAGTATGGAGTTGAATTTACAGAATGGAGAAGAGACTGCTTAAGAAGTAAAGAAGTTCCACAAGAGTTTAAGAATTTTAGTGAAAGAGTTGAAGGTGTAAAATGTGAATTGGGAAGACAATTTATAAGAAAAGTGATCTGCGCTTGTGGCATAAGCAACCGGAAGAGACAGAGAATTAAAGGAAGGAGTGTTTGTGAAGTTACTTTCTTATGGGACTGTTCAAAGTAGTGGAGTTCTAGTCCTACCTAGATAAGTTAATATTTATATCTATTCCATGGCAGTTCCATAAAATGAATAAAAAAATATGGCAACTTCTGAATGACCAATTTGGTTTACTAAAAACCCATAAGATCTATTTGCCTGGTTTGTATTTTCACCGGTACCTGTTATCTCTTTAGAGGATAGCTGGGGTGGTACAGATCGTCTCAAGGAAGAAAATTTTATAGAGATATCAGGAAATAAAGAAAAATAAATTATCATAGATGACTGGTTTTGTGTGAAGTTAAAACTACATCTCATAGACAGCTACGCTTCCCGACAGAAGGCCTATAGAGAATACTTATACTGGGTAATCTTTGTTTTTATGAAACGAAATATTTATTTTATTTATTTATAAATTATATTAGAATATATCTGTTTTCCTTAAATATGAAGACTGCGCCTATCAATTCTCTAGAGCACACCTGACCAATCTAAATAGTTTCAAGGAGTAGTTTTTTTATGGTTAATATTACAGTGGTCCTCATTTAAGGTTGAAAAAATACTTTAAAATTTAAAAAAAAAATACATTTATTCTTTTACTGATCCAATACAATTAAACCTTAAATATTAATTGATGAAATATTTGTGTATCCTTTTTTATAATTATATTTTTCGGATTCATTTAGCAAAATTTGGCATGTATAGATATCAAATAGAGAAATAAAAATGCATATTATCACAATGATTTCTTCTTTTTTTTTTCCATATCTCCATTCGATAGAAAAATAATTATAAAAAATGACACACATACAAATTTTCATTTTTTTAATATCCAAAGAGAAACATAATTTTCAATAGAAACATAAAATCACAATATAACATGGAGAGCTGTGTCTTAGGTTTGTTCTAGAGACTAAATATTAATTTATACAAACATAGTTATAAGTTATATAAATAAAATACTATACATATCTTCAACAAATGGGTTGAAATTGACATTAATTTGTGAATTAGTTTTATCTTTCATTGAATGTTTCCCATAATTTTGTTTTTTACAACTTAACTTTGTGAATACAAAAAGTTGTACTGAAGATTAAAAAAATAAAAAGGAAAATGATTTTTTTATCTATTTGTTTACCTTTTTTAATTTGTAATATTTTTTTTTAAGTTTAAAAACCGAAATACCAGTCATTTTTGGTTAGTTCCTAAGTTCATCGGTGGAATTCAGCAAGATTCTTCATTCAGTGATTTTTTCATCAATGGCTCAGGGGTAGGGGGGATCTACAGGGGAAGGCTTTGGGATTGAAGCTCCTTCCCCCCAAAAAATGGTAAAATATAACCATGTTTTATGGAAAAAAAAAAATTATCTCTTAAAGTATTATTGTTCGTGTAATTACATTTAAAAGGACTTTAGGAATCACTTAAATACCATTTCATATAGGTAGTTAGTTTATTTCTTCTTTTCCAAAGTAATTATCGTTATTTTTATGAAAAAAAAAAGCTTTCAGCTGAAGTTCCCACTCCCCCAAAAAAATTAAATCCTGGATCCGCTGTTACTCAGGGATTCCTTCCACTTTTAGGGTGGATGGATCCGCTGGATGAAACCTCATAATAACCTCTGTTTTGTTATTTATCCATTTACTTTACATATTTATATTTAGTTTACTTTCTTTCTATATTTATTTATTTTTACGCTATTAGAATTCAAGAGGTCCTTCCTAAATCCATCTTAACTAGCTGCCCATTCACTGCTGGATCAATCGATTGATAAAATTAGAGATGAGTTTAGGAATTTGCCCTTTTATTTCGATTAAACTTTTTTTTTATCTTACTGTCTCGGTTATATTTAGCTGTTTTTTGTAATCGTCTAATAAGGGCAAGTTCCTAAACTCAGCCTCAATTACATCGAAGGAATCCACATATCGATTTAATCCAGCACTGATGGGAAACGATTTGTGCTGAGTTTAGGAACGACCTGCTGGGATCTAGTAGAAAGTTACAAAACACATGAAAAATAAAAAATATATATGAAAATATTTACCTATTGAATCACTGAGTTTCAAATCAGAAATGAATATAGATAGAACTTAAACTTAAATATTAATCTGTAACTTAAACAATTTGTAAAGTAATTGCATTCAGAGAATCCATCAACCATTAATGTTGACTATACAAACAAGCTATCGGGGATTCAATTGATGAATAAAGGAACTCGGTAATTCCATTTATGGGCATGCTAATAAGTTCAGGAATGACCTGAGTTTAGAAATTTTCCCAAAGTCAAAAATAGTTTTTTCAAATAACCGCTATACCTGTTTAGCATGCAGAGGAGAAATCAGGAAAATCCCTGGGCGTATTTTGCGTCACCGATGAATTTTTTAAATCGATATATTTCCTTATGGCTTCTTGTATTTAAATAGGTGTATGCCATAAATTTGTACTAACGAGAATATGTTCGATCGATCAGCAAGTTTGCGTGCACTATTATTATTAATTATTTGCGCACTGACCCTTAATTATGTAGTTAACTTTTTTTCCTTTTGTGCAAGAGAGAAGACTTGATTGGCCAATTATGGACCTGCTATTGAAATGAAAGTAAGAACAAAACTTGAAATCCCCTCTTCTAACCTCGTTACAGCGAAATTCTCGGAAGACAATTTGCATTGGCAATAGCATAGGCAAACTTCAGAGAAAAACGTAATAGGAAAAAAGTATTATAAGTTCTAAGAAACTAAGCAGTGTTTTCCTTCTGCAGTACAGCTACAGAAATGCTTAGTTTGAGATCTTAATACAGTTTATTCAATGCTTTAATTTTATTTCAGTCAATGAAACGATTTGATATTATGAAATTATGATGTTTAATGTATTAAATATATTATTTAAAATACTGTGATAAGACTTGACTTTGGTTGAAGAGGACAGGGATTAAAAGAACCAAAACGACGAAATTAACCAGAAAAAAAAGTTTCCAGCCATGCAGTGAGAAGTCTTAAGTATGTATGGAAATTAATATAAAAATCTGGTACTGTGTGCGCATCACACAACTTTCACTTACCATCCTCTTCATAGCAGAAATACATATTTTTCAGACAAAGGGGAAGAGAAAGTAAAAATTATAAACGCTATATTGATTTATATTTCATTGTGGATATTTTTATTTGTTTAAGTACCGTTATATATACAAATTTTAATATTCATATCGCTGTAATCTATACAATTTAATATTAAATAATACTGTCGGAGCCCGTATTATATTAAGCTCATGTTACATATGGAAGCGTGTTCTAATCTTCGGACGAGCTCGTGCGCGCTCTCCTATCACTTTGGTTCTTTCATAAAAACTATTCTCTGCTACGATCTCTTATTTCTCCTTTAGTTAATTATCAAATTTTTTCATATTTTATATTTGACTATTTTTTATATTAGAGATTAATGTGAAATGGTTAATTGTTTCAAATAAAAAAAAATAAAGGTACTTTATAAGAGGCTAATATTGAAAATTAGCCATTTAAGCCCTGTTACAGTACATCAGTGAGAATAAAACCTACACAATATTAAAAACGGCTTAATTTTACATTGATATACCGAGTTTGAATAAAATCGTTGGAGCCGTTTTCGAGTAAATCGTAAAAATGTGTTTCATCGATGATATAAAGTGCAACTTCCGGTTAGCCGATTTTGCCCAAAAAGTTCCTGTAACATCTGAGGTATATACATACCTAAAATATGCAATTTCACTTTCATACGATTTTTCGTTTTTGAACTAGACTCGTCACACACACAGACCGTTTTGCAGAACCTGGTTATTTGGACTCAGGAGACCTCAAAACATGTATTTCCGTTGAAAACTCAGAGTCGCAAATTTTCACGATCGCAATACTTTCCATTACCATGTATTTCATATATAGGTAAGTGAAACTAATAACATATTCCAATGACAAGTTCCTGAACTCAGCGCTGAGTATCGGAAACGCATCAATGGATTAGCTGAGTTTAGGAACTTGCCACAATTATGACGGTATCAAGTTCATGAACTCTAAATATATTATCTTTCGGTGAAAATGAATCTGTTGACGTCATCACGGTATACTATGAAAAGCTTACTGTTATATTATCCATGAGTATTTTAACAGATCTCTTATGAGAAGTAACGTTTATAGTTATAAAAACAATCTCTTGCGGTACACGCATCACACAACTTTTACTTATCATCCTACTTGAAGCACTAGCGGATCCATGATTTAATTTTGGGAGGAGGGAGGGGCTTCAGCCCGAAATTTTTTTTTCATGTATATATATATATATTTCGAGTTCTACCAATGGGTAGTTTCTCTTCATGTTGTACATGTCATATTACCAATGTCACATTTACTTGTATTTTCTATGTAATACAGTTGTAAATTTCATTAAAATAAAAAAAAAATTTATATATATATATATAACGATAATTAATTTGAAAAAAATAAATAAATTAACTACCTATACGAAATGGTGTTTAAGTGGACCTTGAAGTACTATTAAATTTAGTTACATGAACAAAAATATTATAAGAAATATTTTTTAATACTTTTTTTCTGTAAAACTTGGTGATATTTTACCATTTGGGAGGGGGGACTTCAGCCCGAAACCCCCCTCCCCTCCTCTCTGTGACTTGGAGTATATATAGGTGTTCTCATACACAGAATAGTGAAAATAAAAGTTATTTCCAATACATGTTATTTAAAGCACTTACCTTCTGTTTTTCCCAGCCCTCTGATGTATTTGGTTTTAATGACTAATTTTCTTTTACGACTAAGGTAAATATACCTGAAATAGACGCTTTAACAGAAATTGTCAAACATTAATGTGAACCACAGCTTTGGTCCTGGCGGTGGATCTTTGTAAGCAGCAACTTCAGTCTTTTATAGATTTCCTTTTTCTAACCAGGCTATTCTATATAAGTTTGGACGTCACTCTTTTAAGTGTTATTGCTGCAAATCTCCGCATCTTTGCCCTATCTCTTGAGTGTATAAACCTTATTATTTGTTAATGAGTTTAAAACTGTTTATTACTAAAACATTTACCCATCTATTTCAATTATTTATTTAATTATAATAAATTATTAAGTCACACGAAATTGTTTTAGTCCGAGCGCCGGTGTTTAAGGAGGCCGCTATATTTATTTAAATTTCATTGTGTGTATTTTCATTTGTTTAAACACTAGTATATATACCAATTTTGATTTGTATATTGCTGTAATCTATTCTATACTATTAAATAATGTCAGCGCTAACATTTATGAAAACCGTAAGCTCGGGTTTCTTCGGTTCTCTATCACGATCCGAATTTCTCTATTTTATTTTTTCTTCAGTTAATTATCAAATTCTTTCATATTTTATATAAACCATGTTTAATAGTTTATCATATGAATAATAGGGTGTATAAAAAAAATGAACGTTTTATCAAATTCAAGATTTAAAGGACTGTAAATATTTTAATCCTTAATAATTCCTTTAGAGCATTCTCTAAGCTTGTTTAATCCCAATCGACTTCTTCATAAGAAAATCCTCAGTTTAGTTATTTGTTTCAATGAAGAAATATGTCCTACGAAATTCCCGTAATTTCAGTCGCTGAAGCAATCCGTTAAATTATTAAATATTAAGGGGAAGGTGTCCTTGACCAGCGCACTGTGCAGCGTTGGTTTGAAAAATTTAGTGGTGGATCATTAATGGATATTGATGAAGTTGTGCAGGAAGGTGAGTCAAATTCGTCCACAAGTACTCGCGAATTTGGCAGAGATTGTGGTGTGTTGAAAGATACTGTTAATCGCCATCTACTCTCCATGGGGAAGGTGAAAAAGAGCAGTTGACTGGTTCCTCACGAACTTACTCCTCAGCAATCAGCTAAGATGGTAGGAATTTTTTAAAAATGTATTTAAAAACCCTTCTGATATGAGATTTTACCGGAAGATTGTTACCTGTGATGAAAAGTGGGTTAACTGGCGATTTTAAATCGATTTTTGTTGATTCGATTAAAAATAATGATCACTCGTTATACGGTTTTACATAAACAGTAATGATTAAATTGTGATAAAAAAACATTTGATAAGAAAATAAACATCACCTTTTACACACAACTTAAATTAAATATTAGTTTGTATATATACGTTATTAATATACACATTTTTTAATATTATATTTCTGAAACCGCTTTAATTGTGAACGTGGTATCTGCACCATATATGGATTTTTCTTTTTTTTTGGAAGCTGAAATTTCTAATGAAGTTCGGAAATAAAGATGTTCTGTTGCTACTAGTTGACAATATTATCCACCTACACACTCCAGTCTCAAAACATATCATAGAGTTACAAAAAAAATATATTTCTGATTTTAAAAAGTATTGCTCTAGAATCATTACTATTTTTAATCGTAAAAATTTTGTTAAAAAATAATAATCAGGATATGATTTTTATCACTTATGATCAAGAATAAAAATCGCTCTTAATAAAAAACACCAAATATTTTTTAAAAATTCCAGATAAAAATTGTCATCAGATTTTATTTTGATTTTTTAAATTATCGTTTTCAATCCCTAGTCAAATGTAAAATAATTTAAGTTTTAAAATCTTTTGGATAGTCGGGCTTGATGCAAGTATTTTGAGTGATAAGTTTTTTCAAAACGGACAGGGTTGATAGCATACCTCAAGTGTAACTAAAACGTTTAGACAAACATTGGTCAGATTTTCAGCAGAATATTAGGAAATTATTATTATTTTTTAAATATTACAGTTTTTTGTTGAATAAGAACCGATTACTAAAAAAAATATTTAACTTAAGTAATTAACCATTATCATACAATGCTATGATCAAGCCAGTTCTAATATATGGCTGTGAGACCTGGACACTAACCAGCACCGTGGATAGAAGTATTGAAAGATTTGAGGAAAAAATCCTCCGCACGATAACCGGAGTGATATGGGATCAGAGTACTAACTCATGGAGAAGAAAGGCCAATTAAGAACTGCCTGCAGAAATTGGTCAATCAATATCACATGATATGAAGGCACGGAGGTTAATATGGACGGGGCATGTATCTCGTTGCAATCGCATCTGGAAGCCTCTACGAAACAATGAATGCAATATAAGGCAAAAGACCACCTGAAAAAACAAAAAGCTGATGGATAGATCGAATCAACAATGATGCAATAGAGCTGCGTGCAGATAAATTTAATTTCTCGTTTTTCCAACACCTGAGTATTGTATTTTGATAAAGATAAATACACTTATACAAACCTTTCTGGCTGAATCCTCTCCCCCCTCCACAAATTAAATCATCGATCTGCTACTGCTCATAACATATTTCTTACGTTTTTCTTTTCGATTAATTAATTTGAAATGTATTGATAATTATTTTTATATTTTAGTAACTCGTTTAACTAACTAACTAAGTTTGATTTCCATTAACCCCTTACTATAGGCAATTGCACTAACAAAAGCTAATGTCTGTTTAATAACAATAGTTTTACTTGATTGAAACTGAGACAAGATTTATCGATTAGATCATTACCAAAAACAGATTAAAATTATCGCTAAAAGACCTCCCAAAGAGCCATTTGTTAAAAAAAAAAATTTAACACAATATTATCCTTTTGCCCTATACAACTCATTTTTATATCTTTCATTTTCACTTATACATATCCTCAGAGTAAGGTGCCCATAAGAAACCAAACGTGACCTATTAAAATAAAATGAAACATACTTCGCAACTATGAATAAGCTGAATGCATTGCCTTTAAGTCTCTCATATAAGATGTCATAAGCTATATATGCAATAGTTGTTAACAATTAGCTTGCATAAACAACCTAATTTCAATAAAATATCGTGACATTTTATTAAGTTAATGTAAACATTTAGTTATTTTTTCAACAGTTATTTTATCCTTAAAATGCCCTCGGGCAGTGGAAGGACTTTGTTATTTGTGTATATTAGTATTGTTATACTTATATATGTAATGTAATTAAATACACTTTTTGGGGGGTTAGAAAAATAAATTAAAAACAACTCTTGTAAAATACCATAATGTTCGTTGTTAATAGCATGTCCTCAAATTTTCCACCTCATACTAGACTGAAACGACAAGAAACCGCTCGACGTTTCCGATTACTTCAGCACTTACTAGACAAACGCTCTAAACTTCTCATTAATTACAAAAGACTCATATACTTGACTGTAATAAGACCTATTTGGACTTACGGAGTTGAGCTATGGGGCTCCACTAAACCATCGAATTCCTCTCGCATCCAATCCTTACAATCAAAAATCCTTCGTAAAATCCTCAATGCTCCGTACTTTGTCACTAATAAAATTATCCATAAAGATCTTAATATTCCTTATGTTTCAGATCTGGCCCAATCCAGATACCTATCCTTCCATAATAAACTTCAGAATCATCCCAACCCTCTCGTTTCTAACCTTGCTTCTTCTTCAATTCCTGATAACCCTCCGAGGCGTCTGAAAAGAAGATGGCCCCGTGATCTCCTAATGTAGTCATATCATTAGAGTGCTACCATTGGGTAGTTACTCAGCAAGTGTATTCATATCATTATATCTATTATGTCCAAATTTACTTGATGTATTTATATAATACAGTTGTAAATGTCATTAAGAAATAAAAAAAAATAAATAAAAACTTTTTCAACCTTTTTTGATTTTCGAGTTATTTGGGAAATGCCAAAGAGGTTGTCTTTATTGGAAGAGTCTTTGTCTCTTCCAAAATTCTCAATACTATCGAGAATACGTATTAAGATACCTAAATACAGCTAGATGAGTCAATAACGAAAATAAAACATAATTATTTCAAACTCGATCACAGACATTTAAATGTTTGATTTTATTTCTCAAAATATTATTATACTATAAGCAGTTTATTAACTAAAAAAAAATTGCAAAAAAATAGGACTTGCGGGGTTAAGGTTAAAACTCTTATCGGAGCCCGGTCTCCAGTTGGCCGATAAGCGTTGTGTAAAAAAAAATGTATATATATATATATATATATATATATATTAAAAAATTTCCTTAATAAATTATATGCGAATAATAAAATCACTTTAATATATCATACCCTGGCAGTGTAGATAATATTAAATATGTACGTTATTTATTTATTTATTTACGGTATCGTTGGAAATTGAAAGAAAAAATAAAACTTAAAATTTGTTTCATGTCAATAGTGACAAACTAATATCCTTTCCAAGTCATGCCCTGCAATGTTATTGCTGCCTTAATGTTAGTTTTTTTTTTTTGGGTCCTCCATTTCCTGGTTCTTTTGGGGATCATACACAGCTACAGGAGTTCGGTCACTTGATTTTGATGCGTCTGTATAAACTTGTAGATAATTAGGGTAACGTTAAACACTAAAAAAATATGAATTATTTTTCCCTTCCCAGAAGTTCCGATTCCACCAGAAGTGAATCTGTTGGTAGTACGATGATTCTAGTTTATGTTATCATATCGGGGAAGAGTTTTGATGATAACAGTCACGTTTCTACGTTTCGTTTCCTTTTAGATAAAAAAAAATGGATTGATATTTTCTCTTGGTTTATTATTTTTAATTTTATTCTGTTTGAGAAAATCGTTTTTGCATAATTCTTGCTTGAATTATATAATTTTGTATTTATATATATTTTTTTAATATGGGATTTTTTAAAAAAAAAGTTACAATGCAGGAACGTTCGGTGTTACAAAAATTACAATAATAAAATTAAATCCCTGATGAAGTAAGGTCGTTTTTTTTTTTTGTTTTTTATAAATGGAAAAATTCAATTATAAACGTCCTGCAGTTTTTGTTATAAAAGATAAGCTGTTACATATGAAACAATAAATTTGAAATTATATGCTGCACTTTTTCACAGCACTGATGGATTTATTGATGGGGTTTTCTGGATGAAGTCTCTCCCCCATTCAAACAAAAAAATATATAAAAACAAATTTATATATATATATATGACTTCAAGATCTACAAAAAAGTTCATAGAAACAATGGGCCAATTTTTAACAGAAAAATGGAAAATTCTAAGTTTTGTATTATTATTTTTTTTAGAGAGTCGTGTATTTTGTTGAATAGGAAGCGATAACTAAAGAAATATCTAATTTAAGTAATTAAAAATTACCTCACTGTAGACCAGAAAAAATTTACTTTAATTGTAAAGAGAGTTTGTCATTATTAAAATCAATTAAAGAGGATTTTTGAGCGGCTAAACTAAGCTAAGTTCTATTTTTAAAAAAATCTTAAATTATTTGTGATTTTTTTTTTGTCATCATCAGACTATACTGCAGCTACCCCACTTATAGAAAAACTATCTCGTTTAATTATGTTTCAGTTTATATTAATTAAATTGAGGTTTATTTGGCAAAAACTTGGGATTCACCTCAAGTTGTGTAAAGAAATGATATAATTTTCTATCTCGTCTTATAAAAGTACCCATGTCTTCTGAAAAAATGACTATAATTAACTGTAGCGAAGCTTTTATTTATTTATTTTTTCATGATCTTGGGTGTATTTTAATAAAAATAATTGTCTAAATACACATTTTATTTATCAAAATTTTAAAATGTAAACTGGTTATAAAATTGTGTTTTTCTTCCAGATTTCTGTCAAAGGAACTGATTCGCATTCATCGGTGGTAAACATAATGTTTCTAATCATAAACTTATTTTTTTTTTATTCATTGATATTCACAACTGTATTATAAAAAAATACGACTAGTAAATGTGCACACAGTAATAATACAATCACATGAAAACGCTTGTTGAGAAACTACCCATTGGTAACACCCTAATAATATATTTACATAAGTAGATCACGAGGCCATCTTCTGTTCAGACGCCTCGGAGGGAAACATAAACTTGAT